GTGCCCAAGATCCCGAGAGGAGAATGGAGAAGGGATTGCGGCGTGGCCATCCCCCCAGAGGGTGATTTCTCACTTTCTGTCTCTCTGTCTCTGTCTGTCTGGTGAGCACACGCACCTTATAGCAAAAACCTCTAAAAAAAAAAAAAAACCTAATAAATAAGATTAAATAAATTTTAAATCCTTTGGAAAGGCACAAGTGGGAAGAACTCTAGTATTTAGAGGCAGGTGCACCTGCAGGTATATCCACACCCCGTCACTCAGCTGTTCACATGCAAGGCCATGTCCTCTTGCACAGATTCTATGCAGCACCTAGAAAGCACCCTGTCAATGAACAATCACTTCTTTCCTGGCCTGCCCCAGACAGTACTTTTTACATTCAACCTGCCTTAGAATTTAAAAATAAAATGGGCAGAAAAGTCATCTAGCCCTCAAACATAACTATGAAGAATGTGGACAAGAAACAAAACAGGCCTGCAATGAGAGAATATGCAATTTATTAGATACTGAATACAAATATTTAAAGAGAGACCCAGAGAGCTCACTTCATCCCTCCAGCTGCCCCTAGGCCTTCCCTACCCCAATATAAACATCATTTTGCATACGTTATGGCTAGCAAAGACTAAAAAGATACGAAGCTTTCAAAGATGGCAGACAATGAGCTCCATCCAGGTCAGACGAAACTGTTCTTGGAGGAATCCACTGTTCGGACAGTCACAGACCAGTTCAACGCCTCAGGTTTCTGGACCATAGACTTACAGCAGGAGCTCCCTGAGCATGTGACTGGCTAGAGCCACTGACCAGGAAGCAGATAGCCTACTCCTTCTGCGTGTCTGCCAGCATCTTCTCTATGATGTCCTGCTTCTGCTCCTCCAGCACCTGGCTGAAGCGATGCATGGCTAGAGGGTCCAAAGAGGGACAGAAATTGGGCTTAGTGGGTGTGCAGGTGAGGCCCAGACACGCCCACGTCATGGTAGACCACCAGAGGCCCTTGTTCAAGGAAGCTGAATTTCAGCCCCCTCTTTGAGATGGATTTCCAAGTCGACCTGAGTCCATGTCCGATGTCTCTTTTTGAATGCTGCTGTCATAGGATGCCTTCCAGACCCCCTCAATGTCTCAGATCAAATCCCGTACCCTGGCCTATCACTTTGACCTCACTGAGATTTCTTTCTGCCTCTAGTGTCTCTTCACTCAGACTGTGTTTCACGCCAACCCCCAAAATATTTCTTCAACATACACCCAAAATTATTTCCTCAACATAAATCTTCATGGGAATCAGAGATTCACTGAAGTCCCAGGAGGTAGAAGGACGTCTGCCTGTGGGATGCCATAAGTAGCTGGTAAATGAAGGCCATGTTCTCTGACCTTCGGAGGAGAAGGTAGATCCTGCAGTATCACGTAGCAGACCTCCGTGACTACCTACCTGTATGTGTCACTTACTTCCTGGCCAACCCACAAGGGCAGAGTAGAACTCGTTATCTTATGGTCCCAACGCCTCACTAAATGGCAGGGACAGGACAATTACCCAGAAGATGGAAAGAATGAATGAACAGATGCTTCAAGGGCCTACAGTCCCTGTTTACAAAGGAGCTTAATTAAAGAGAAAAACGGAGGGGCGGTCTCATGGCCTAAGTGGGTAAGGAATCTGGACCCCACATGGCTGACCTAGGTGAATCCTAGCCCAGTAGCTTGAAAAACATGCCAAGTGCGTTTGCAAGCATGCCCCAAATCCTGACGCAAAGGAGAAGGGGTTGCGGTATGACCAGGCCCCATTGAAACTATTTCTTTCTCTCTCTGATGAACACAATATGCACCCTCTGGCTTATAAAAAGAAAAGACAAAAAAGAAATAGAAATAGATGGAATAGAAGGGCTGGAGCTATAGGCGGGGAAAAAATTTTAAAAAAAGGGAGGAAGGAGAAGAAACCGCAGGTACTGGGTTACAGAGGAGATGATGAGGCCCTTCTAAAGGATGCCAGGCCTGGGAGATTACTACCACTTGCCTGGTTTTAGCCGGACGATCTTATCTGCAAAGACCAGGCGGAACCAGCCAGGCTCCTTACACAGGTAGGTTTTGCCACTGGACAGCATCAGCTTGTGGTCCAGGAAGCGGCGATGGAGGCGCAGCTCTTCTTCAAATGTGCAGGGTTCCAGGTACTAGGGAGGACAGCGGAGTGGAGCTGAGCCCGGGTCCCATCAGGCAGGTCTGCCCAAGAACACCTCTTTCCATTCCCAGAGCTCACCTCTTTCAAGCTGATCCAGATATAGAGGCCGGAACCACGGCTGAGAAAAGGAATCTGTAATGCTTTCAGCTCCTTAGTGACATATCTGTGAGCTTCCTGGAGCCGGGAGCGGTTAGTGGGCAGGTACACTCCGTTGATCCATTCTGGATGGGCGAAGGAAGAGAGCTGGCACAGATTTCTCGCCAGTGATCTGCCAGAGCGTTCCTTCCCAAATGCTTCCTACCTGGGCTTCACCCAAGCAATTTTTTCTTAATTTGCCAGAGCATGCATGCACTCGTAGTGGGGAGGAGAGAAAGCCCCCCCCAGAGTGATTTTCCATTTTCCTCTCAGGATTTTTTTGAGCACACATGTACACATACCCAACATGTTTTCAAGCAGCCAGGTCTGGGACTGGAACCTTGCAGTCATATGGGATCCAGCCCTTTTCACCACCACGCCACTGCTGGCCTCATACAAGAGTTTTCTATCCAGGACTAGCTCTGTTATATTTGAGCTGATGGCATTCAGACCCAGCACCCTCCTCTTATCTATGGCTGTGGAGATACTGGTCTTCTCAAGGGTACAGTAGGGACGGCCCTTGGAGTTTAGCCCTGAGGCAAGGAGTCAGGGTACCCACTGAAAGGGATCAATAGAGCTGTTGTCAACTTGCAGCTCCTCTCACCTGCTGCTTTTCGATCTTACACAGTAGACTTGGAGGAACCTACATATGCCTAAGGATGCTCTTAGCCCAACTGTTACCAGCATTGGCAGCACAAAACAAAACAAAACAAAAACAAACACACACACACTCGGGGAGCTTTTAGGAGCCCAAATGCCCAGGTTATCCCCCTAGAAAATCTGAATCAGAATCTCTGAGGATGGACCCACTCTTCGGTGTTAAAACTCTCCAGGCAATTCCCATGTGCATCCAAGGTCGAGAACCAGTGTTCAAGGGGCTGGGGGCCGGATTCTAAAGAGCAAAGGACCTGTACCACATACACAGGCATCCGGCAGACTTCTCCCACCTGCCTCTTTCCCCACCCAAAGTGCGAAGGCAAGTAGTTTTCTAAACCAGCCAATCTAATGACATTGGTTAATATTGTGGAAATAATGAAATAAAATTCAACCTTTCATGGTATCTGCCTCCTCCGAGACCAGCATTCTCTAGAGACCTAAGTGGGAAGGCAAGTCTAGGTGCCATAGATCTCGCCATACCAACTTGCCCAAATGGCAGCCACCTTGGAAGATGAGATTAAGTTGTAATAGAAGAGTCAAGGGCTTGGTAATCTTTGCCTGAAGCAAGCAGGGCACTGCAGGGAAGGTGGAAATTCCTCTAAAGACTGATTTATGAAGCCCCCTTCAGAGCTTGTAGGCAATGGGCTATCCTCTTTCTTTCTTTCTTTCTTT